GGCTAAGAAGGACTTGTGGGGAGAAGGACCGTGATCAAAATATACTGTATAAAAATGTTAATTTAAAAATTAGTAAAGAAAAAAGAAAGTCAAATTTTTTCATGGGAATCAATACCAGATGAATATATGACTCATGACTTCTTTTTATGATTTGAAATTTCACCTACCTATACGATGTATTTTGACCATATTCACTCCCTACTTCCATTCCAGCTCCTCCCATATCTTTTCCATGTCCTCCTCCCAACTCCATGTCCTCTTTTCTTATAATGACTCACTAAGGCCAATTAGTACTGCTTATACACAGATGGGTGTGGGGCCATCATGTAGAGTGGTCAACCTACCAAAGAGTCACAATCTTTTTATTTTATTCTTTGAGAATTCCATACATATATACAATAAAATACACTCTCCATTTTACCCCTCCAACTTCCCCCTACTTCAAAACTCTCTCCCTCCAAACTTCATGTTGTCTTTTTTTTTTTTTTTTCAGTAAGTCCAATCAGCGCTGCCTATGTGTGCAAGAGTGTGAGGCAGGGGAAACCTACCAAATGACCATGCCCTCAAATCAGAATGATTCTCCCTTCCAGAGAAACTGCCAACTTCCAGTAAAGGGTAGGGGCTGGAAAGTATCCCCTCTATCCATTCTGGAATTTCGGCTTGCTTGGTCCTGCGTGGGTCTTGTGGAGGTGACCACAGCTTATGAGCGTTCATGAATGTGAAATCCGTGTCATGTCCAGAAGACAGCATTTCCCAGCACTGCTCCCTGCCTCTGTGTCTTAGTTAGTGCTTCTGTTACTGTGATAAAACACCATGGCCAAAAGTCACTTGGAAAGTAAAGGGTTTATTTCGTCTTATAGCTTATAGTCCATCATTCGGGGAAATCAGGCCCGGAACTCAAGGCAAGAACCTGGAGGCAGGAACTGAAACAGAAGCCATGGAGGAGTGCTGCTTCCTGACTTGCTCCCCATGGCTTGCTCAGTGTGTTTTCTTACAACACCCAGGACTACCTGCACAGGGGTGGCATCCAGCAATCTGGGCCCTCCCATATCAATCATCAATCAAGAAAATGACCCTCAAGCTTGCCCACAGGCCACTCAGTATTCTCCCAACTGTGGTTCCCTCTTTCAGAATGACTCCAGCTTGTGACAAGTTGACATTGACCACTCAGTATTCTCCCAACTGTGGTTCCCTCTTCCAGAATGGCTCCAACTTGTGACAAGTTGACATAAAGCTAACCCACACGCTCTAGCTCTTCCTTTCTTCCTGCCTTCTCTTCTTCAATGTTGCCTGAGTGTAGGCAGGAGTTGGGGTGGCAATAATGAGCACTCAGCCCCTTATCCTCAGTTTTCTGACAGTTATGCATCCCTTCATTGGCTGCTGCTCACTGCAAAAGGAACTTTCACTGGGCACTACTACTATCAGGTAACTAACCATTTTCTGCTTGGCTTCTGAAGCCTGTTCCACAGAAGGAATTTTATGCCTGGTATTGTAACCATGGTCAAAAGCCCATGGCTGGGAAGCTCATAAGCTGTAGGGTAGAATCTACTATTGTTATCGTACACTATTATTAATGTGAAGCATGTTTCAATAAAAAGCTTATACAAGAAAAGCTTGGTATGGTGGCAAATGTGTCTAATTCCAAGATTCAGGAAGACTAAAACAGGATTGCCATGAATTCAAGGTAAGCCTGGGCTGCATAATGAAATGTCTCAAAAACCCAAACAGAGAGAGGAGAGGAGAGAGAGAACCTTCACACATACACAATAAGATGTACAAAGTGCTCCTAGAGGTGTGAGAACTTGGAGCAGGGGAGGGCAGCCGTGAACGTGTCATGGTTCTGCAACTGATCCCGTGACTGGACAGTGAACCTCCAGAGTGAGACTGTTAATATCTGAATCAATGAGCCAAGTTGTGAACCTGGTCCAATGTCACCGTAGGCTCATCAGGTGCTTCAGGAAGTGATGCAGGAAGAAGGGCCTTCCTCTGGCTCCTCATCACTTCTTGCCAGTGTCATAGATACAGGAGCCTGAGTCGCTCAGCCTGTTCTTCTAGGAGGACCAAGGAGAGGCTTTCTGCTTGTCCCACGTGAGGCATTGCTAACTGACCACAACCTAGCACAGTGCCTGGCCTGCACAGGGGCAGCAGCCACGACTGTAATAGCAGTGAACAGTGGAGGCTAATAGCTGGCGATTACTGGGTGTGTGCCATTGTGAGGACTTCCCCGGTGCTTTACTTACAACAACCCACTTAACTCTCATTCCTAGGAGGCACATGCTTTTTCAGACCCCACTGTACAAAGGAAACTGAGTCCTTCCATGAGACACTGGGATTGAGGTGGCTCGGGATGTGATGTGACAGCATGTATTTCCTCCACAGCCTGGAATGCCTCTGTCCTGACAAGTTCCTTATTTTAACCACCTAGCTAAGTGGCATCTGCTCTATCCATCCTGGCCCTCCATCCTCCCCAACAATACAGTTAATCCCCTTTCCTCTGTTCTACCCAAGCCTTTATCCATTGTCCAATGCTATACCTATCACATTCAGCCACATTACTTTTTTTATGAGAAAGGATGGTATACATCCACCATAACAAGAGGTGAGATGACCTCTAGCTAGGAAACAGGATGTTTTCCTCAATGCTATATCACAAGTTTTCATGCAATAGTCAGCCCATGGTTCATACCTATTCTCCACTAGGCACTGGTTTATATAATTTGGCATATACCACCTTACCACAAAATAACACGTATCTTTTCAAAGTGTGTTTACATTTGCTGATTCCTTTGATAGTCCCAGAAACCTAGTAGAATGAACCTTATATGTAAAATTATCCCTATATGAAAGATAGGGAAACTGAGGTACATGTGCTACTCAACATCTTTCCTCGGGTTCCTTGGACCTAAAGGTATGCATGAGTGAGGGCTTCCTCCCAGCACCTCCAGTAGGATGAGTAGTGGGTCAGTGAACTCTTACCACCAGATTAATATTCCCTCTAAGTGGCTAGCGGGGTTGTCTAACCGCAGGAGCCGTACATATGTGTGGAGAACTTAACTGGCTTGGCAGAAACAAAGACATTCTAAAGAAGCACTTTGTGCCTCTCAACCTAACAGACTATCGAAACAATGGACCCCAAAGAAATGGAAAGTGCCCCAGGAGCTCATGGTGGGAGAGGGGAAAGGCACCAGCCAGAGGGACCTAACTCCAGGAAGGATATTTCACAGTGTTCTAACCACTTCTCAGACAGCCTGACAGGATGGACTGAAGCCCAGATCAGTAACAGGCAGGACCATACCAGACTTCAGTGTGCATATCCTTGGACCGCTATTTAAATTTTGATCTTACTTCAGGAACTTCGGAGTTCACTGGGTCTTTTTGTCCTTCCAACAGGGCCACATGGTTAAATCTCCTTTTTCTGCCTTTCACTTGTGACCTTCCTCTTTTAATCGGCTTATTGGGGACAGGTAGCCAGACCTGACTTGGGACACAGGTTATGACCTCTGAGTTCAGTTAAAGAAGGAAGTAAGCATGTTGGAGGGAAGGCAGAATTTGTAATTACCTGACAATGTGGAGCAATCCAGAGCTGTGTTTACAGGAAAAGACTGAGTTCCCGGGTCCATGTCTCAATAGCCAGGGTCTGAAGAAAGGCGGGCAGAGGAAGCAAGCCCAATGGAGAGGCTGCCAGGAGGAGTTGGGGTAGGTGCTAGTGCTCAGACTGCCAGAGCTTTGGGGACCTTGACGGGTCATGTGACCCACCACCTTTCAATGTAACAAGCAGGGCCTGTTACATTGGCCCTGGGCCCTGAGGAAGAGCAGCTGAATAACCCAGGATACTGGCTCGTTGACATGAACAAGAAGTAATCAAGGGGTATCCCAGGAGGGCCATAGGTCTAAGTCACTAGATTTCAGTTCCACGGGTCCCCTCCCTGATTTCCTTCCTCAAAAACCTGCTGAATCAGTCGTGTGAGGACACTAGGCCAACTGGAGAGAGACAGAAGTATGTTCCTCTACGGGACTTTCTCTCAGGGGGAAAGGGATGCAACCATCTGCCCATAGGAAAGCAATGTGATGAGTCTCTGCTATCAGAAAACTCGGGATCTGGAGTCTTCAGAGAAGACAGGCCACCAAGATGGGCACTAAAAATGTCTGGAGACAAAGAAACCCTTCCTGAAGAATTCCTCCTTGATCTCTGGGCTTCCAGGAAGAAAAAGAATGACAGAGTTGGGTAGCAAGGAGGGCAGGGACCACGGGAGGACTTGGCGCATTGAGTCATGAATAGCTCAGAGTCAGGAGAAACACCAGTCATCACCGCGCCCAACTCCTCTTTCCTCCAGACAACTCCCAGCTTCTGTTCATCACTCTTCGCGTGGCAGGTGTCTGCTGCTCTGTTGGGCTGGATTGCTGGCTTTGCAGGTTCTTGCCTTGCCTTGCCCCTCTGACTCAATGTACACAGAACCCAGTGGCTGGTGCTCCCTAACACACTGGCTCCCATGCTGACATGGGTCATGCCCAGGTCAACAACCAACATCTTCTTCCCCAGGATCACCAGTGGCAGATACCTGGGTCTCACCCTGGACTTCTCCTCTCCCTCAATCTGTCCTTGAAGACTAAGACTTTGACATTTACATGTCTCTGCTTCTCTCCTCTCTTCCTTCTGTCCCTCTGTGCAGCTACTGACCTGTCCACATTGCACAAGTCCAGAATGGGCAGGAACCCCTTATTGAGTCTCCAAGTTCTCCCCACCTGATGCATCCTCTAAAGTGCCCAAGTTCCACTACCCCATTTTCAAGGGTAAAATTCAAACATCGGTGTCCACCTGAGTAAAGGAAGCTCACGTGTTCCCTTGGACATATATTTCCAGACAGCTCTCTGCTGTTCCCAGACATACTACCTGAGTCTCCACTGCGATTATATCTTCTTGGCCAGTATTCCCTACTCAAGCAAGGGATTACCTAAGGCAGGAGCATGTCTTCTGCCCCCAAATGATGTTCCACACAGTAAAGACTAAACTTCTTTTACTGAACATTCATGGATACCCAGAACCATGCCCTGGGTACGTCCCAGGAATATTTGTGATATTATTTGTATACATGTGCGCACACATAAGAAGAAATACATAGCTGCGTTTTGTAAGCTGTTCGTAGTCAGGCCATGCTTCCTGGGACAGACTGCAGTGGTGAAAGACTGTCTGGCCTCCCCTAGTAGAGGCTGTGCTGGACACAGTAGTGTGCGCACAGCTGCCGGTGGAACTGCAGATGGTAGTCCTTCACCAGTTTGCCCAAGATGTACAGGAACTCATCAAAGCAGATCTGGTTGTCCTTGTTTTTGTCAGCCGCCCGGAACAGCTCCGTGATGTAGTATGGCTGCCTGCGGCCCTGAGGAATACAAAGAGGATCAACACCACTGAGCACCCAGTACACTTATCCTCCAGACACCTCCTCTTGCTGGAGATGGAAAGATCGCAGCAGCACCGTCCTCCTGTACAAGAAGCATTCAGGAAACCAGCCCTCACGCAGAATGTCAGTGATGAGATCACCACATGCTACAAAATCAGGCTGTAGAGTCACTGGACCTAGAGTGGCATGGGCACAAATAAGAGACCAAAAATGGCCCTTCCACAGGAGAACTGTGAGCAGTTCCTGAATACCAGTTAGCAGCCTGGAGTCCCCATCACCACATCACGTACACTCAGTGGCTGTACCTTGTCTTCCCAGCTACCCTGCATGCTCTTCTAGAGAGACACCTGCACAGTCTTCCTGAAGGCAAGACACTGTCTCCTTTCTCCACACTGAAAGCTCCTTGAAGGGAAGACCAACCTGTCTCCATGCAGACACACATCTCCTGTGTGACTGACTACAGGACTGGCTCCAAGCGGAGCATATCTCTGCGTGCTGTGCTACCCGCCTAGGCATGTTTATGAAACTCTACCTGGTTCACCTATGGAGTACAGAAAGCAGGAAAGGACAGAGAAATGGCCACTGGAGCTGTCCACCATGTCCAAGCAGGGGTTCCTGAGGCTGGAGATCAGAACGGCACAGGAGGGGCTGTTTGAGATGGGGTGAAGAGCATGAGGAAAGTCGGGGTTCTTGTTTTGAGAGAAGATATGTGACAGATGGGGACAGGTAGGTTGGAGGAGAACTAGGGAGTGGCGGAAAAAGCGGGTTTCAGCAAGATCTTCCTGGTGCACTTGGGCACGCTCAAGTTCAGAAGGGAACATCTGGGAAGCATTTGAGGGAAGGAAGGTAATTTGTGAGTAGCCGCAGACCTGGAGGGCAGCTGCCCATCCCATGGGAAGGTCAGCAGCTTCTCTCCCTGCAGCAGCCCTTCCATCACATCCACGAAGCTTCCTAACCAGAGAAGACCAGAGCCCTCATCAATGCCCATCCTTACCAAATCCACCAGCTGTGCCCCTGTGTCTGTTCCCAAAGCCCTACAGCAAAAGCAGACCCGAGCTCCATGATTGCAGGGCTGGGCAATCTAGGAAAGCCCTTAAGGAGTTCTCCCCAGAAGGGAAAGGATTTCCTAAAAACAATTAGTAAGGAACTTCCACCCCCGCTGCCTTCTGAGCTCTCAGAGGAACATTCCAGAGAGAGAGTGAGGTTGTCTTTTACATTCTTTCTCAAAAGGAGGTACGTGAAGAAGATATTTTAGAGGAATGAGTTGAATCTCACTTCCTCTAGAGATGGCAAACCAGAGAGCCTGGGACACCACAGAGTTCAGGAGGCAGCATCTCACTTTCCTTCTGTGGTGCAGTCTCTGAGAACTACAGTGGTTGGGGATTAGGACTGACAGACTGGACAAGCAGGCTCTGTAAGCCCAGCTGGCCCCATCCAGCTCTAAGAAGCCTTAGGCGTGGGAAGTGGAAGAGGTTATATGTCCCATGCCCACCAGACGAGGGCAGCCTCCACAGCCTGAGTTACCCACTCCGGGCTCACGGCAGAGGCACTGGCGAAGGGACTTAGGCTGCAGGGGCTCACAGAGAGGGTCTGAGTTTAGGGCAGGCGTCACTGGTTAAAGAGGCTTGTGAACAGAGAACAGCTTTGAGCCCATCCTCACAGGACACAGGCGGCAGCAGAAGCAGCAGCTGCAGTGTCAGGCCAAGTCTCAGAGACCAGCTCTTCATGGGCTGGAGTGAAACCAAGCAGGTGACTTCAGAGGAGGCAAGAGAGCACAAACCCTGCCCTCTGCACACCCTCCCTCTTCCATCCTCCTTCCAGGAACAGGAGGCTCTCCTGGGAGTCAGCTCCTTCCACCTCACCACCTCACCACTCACTTCCAACCCCACAAACAGCACGTTCTGGGCACTTCGGTCCTCCCTTCCCTCCCACTCCAGCCCCAGACCCAACATACCAAGGTGTCCATGAAGCGAGGCACACTGTCCAGGAGCAGGGCTTTCAGCTCCTCCAGGGACAAGGTCTCCACGTCCCCTTCCCGGGCAGCGTAGTGGTGGAAGCAGTGTATGATTTGGAAGAGGGAGTCCTCCACGGGTGTGTCCGGCATGATTGCTGGTTCCAGCAGGGTATGGGCAGATCTGCAGAGCAGAGGAGGAGGCACAATGACGGGGGAGGGGGGGTCTGTGGGGAGGGAGCAGGACCCAATCTGCAGAAGCCCAGAACAGGGTGGGCCCTTCCTCCTGGAGACATCTGCCCTCCGGCCCACTTTCCCGTGCTGTGCCGGAAAGGGGGCCTCCTCATGCCCTCACTGGCCCCATGTGAACTTGGCTCAGTGTCTTCCCTCCACAGACTTACCTGCCTGGTCTCAGACTAAGTCCCTTCACTGGGTCCAGGAGTGGCCTCCTACCTCCTAATTGTCCAGAAACAGAACAAACAAAAGATGGTTAGAAGCAAGGCACCGTTTTTTGTTGTTCACAGTGAAAATGTTGGCATCCTTGAAAAGGCAAGACCCCTTCCCCTACAGTGAACTGCTTTATGGGACCAGCAGAACACTAAAATAATTATGCTTCATGGGAGAATCGGGCTGGGCACCAGGCTGCTCGTGTTTTCTTTCTCACTGGAGTACACAGACAGCATAGGCATTGCCATCTTGGTCCCCACCACCGTCCGCATGCCATCTTCTCTAGGAGTTGACATCGGCCTCCCCAGCAAGGTCTCTGTCATCCCGGGGCCTTCTCACAGCTCTGTGCACTGCCCATCTGATGACTACGGTCTCTTACCCCAAACTTCCTACAGAGGCAGAGGTAATGGGGAGCCACTGCCCTCCCTACACCCTGTGCAAACAACCATCATAACAGCCCCACGTCCCACTTCCTCTGTGCCACCCGGATGGCAGGCAAAGCCTCTTCTACATTATCCCATTTAATTCACACAGGACCCTGAGCATCACTGCCTCGTTCTCCTGAGGGGAACATGAAATCCAAAGAGATTAGGGAATTTACCAAGATCACACCATCGCTACACCTAGGTCTGTCCTCAAATCTTTGTGTTTGTGGACAAGCCCAGAGACATGCTTGTCCTCTAGGATTCCAAACCACTTGGGGGCCACAGTTACATCGTTGGGATGCTCGTCCACACTGCGCATGTTCTCCAGAACAGGCAAGCCGAGGGTCTCTGCTCTCTAAGAGCTGCACACACCCAGCACAGCCCACACCACCCCCAAGATGGTCTTGAAAAAGGAACTGACCTGTTGCTCTTGGTTCCGGGCTACTCAGCATCCACAGTTTAGCCTCTGTGTGCGTGATCCTGGAAATCAGACAAAAGGCAGTCTTCTGAGCAGGGGAACTCCCATCATGCTGGACATCCTGCCCGTTCCTGGTCCACTCATTTATGACAGCCGGTTTGTGACTCTCCTCAGGTTCTTCTACAGCAGGACCAAACCTTAACTGCATTCCTGGGATGACATCATCACACTCCTTGCTAAGATAAACTCAGCTGGTTTTAGGGCTCTACCTCCAGGATCTGAAACACCTAAGAATCACAAAAGGTCTCATTATCCATCCACTGCCTCCCATTGGCGCTCATCCCTGCCGCCCCAGCTCCAAGGCCACATTTAAAAATATCTTCCTTAGACATCCTCCCTCGACAAAGTCTACAGTAGTGAATCACATTCATCCACTCATTCAACACATATTTCAGGAGTACCTGAATAAGACACTGGGCGGGCTAGTTCAAGGGGTGGGGCTAACAGTTATACATAGTTATATACCATGGACTCTGGGCAACTATAGGGCAATCAGGGTGCCCAACAAGGGCTGCCTTCTCCCAGAAAAACTGAGGAAGACTTACTGAGGGAGATGCTATTTGAGTAGTGTCTTGAAGAGAAGTTCTGAGTTGTTCCAGGGAATGGAGGTCTGAGCAAAGGCTTGAAGGTGCAGAGCAACATGGCCTGCTCCGGGCATGGAGTTGACAGGGTGCACATGAGTGCTTAGGAGAACAAAGCTCTGGGCGGCAAGCAGACGAAAGGTGAGGGCCCTGTGCACCTAGCCTGTGCTGGAACCTGACTTCCTTTGCGGAGAGAGCTAAGAGATTGCTTTAGTAGCCTGGGTGATGTTTGGAATTCAAAGAAAAGTGCCAGGATCAGTTTTGACCATTAGGAAACAGCCAATGGCAAGTAACTGGACTGAGAAGTCCAGACCTTAGAGCTGACCTCTACACATGTGCCTCTTGACTCTCCTCTCAGTCTCTCTCCAGTGCACGCCTTCCCTCAGCCTTCTCCCCCCCAGTAGCACACCTTGGACCACACAGGCTGATAAGTGTTTCTCCCAGAAGGTGGCGCCAAAGAACAAGTCATGATTCAGCGCCTGCACCGTGCCTCAGAGGGTTCCACAGAAACTGAAGGCAGATGCTGCAGGGTTGCTCAGTTAAGTGGACTAGAGCATCAGGGTTCAGTCCCAGCACCAAAACCACCACGACATCAGCAGCACAATGACATGCTTAACAATAACAAAGACTCAAACCAGTACCTTTCCCAGTTTGCATTCATCTAAGGAAACCATTTCCTCAGCAACCAGTTTACTGAAACGCTATTGTGTTTCTATGCTAAAAATACAGCCCAATTTTCCCACCTATTTGGAAGCTAGAACCATATAAAAATTTATTTGGAAGCTAGAACCATAGAAAATTTTATTAAATATCTTGGATCCATCCATCATTCCCCAGGAATGTATCCCAAGAAATTGACTAACTAGAGTTTTTAGGCAATAATTCAGAAAATATCTGTAATTTAGAAACAGAAGTAAATGAAAACCTTCAAATCATGTAATTCACACTCTTAGTACTTAGACAAATACTCTATAACATTCTGTGTTTCAGCTCTGGCCATCACATGTGGAATGATCTAATAACCAAATGGCAGTTTGTCAAAGACCAGCACCTCCTCCTGACCTGTATCCCTCCCTGATCACAGCCCAACCCCACCGGGGACTCCTGTCTCTCTCTGATCACAGCCCACCCCCACCAGGGACTCCTGTCTCCCTCCCTGATCACAGCCCACCCCAGCAGGGGACTCCTGTCTCTCTCCCTGATCACAGC